TGTTAACCCACTTGCTAACATAACAGATAGACATTTGGGTTCTCATTTGTTTTTACAAAAAATGCTTCAGTGTTCATTTGCTTACTAGTCTTTGTGTAGATATATGTTTTCATTTATTTTGGGTAGAAGCCTAGAAGTGAAATTGTGGGGCTATACAGTAAATGTATAATTTTCATTGATTTGAGGCACCTGAACAGGATTAAGAAGTAGGAAGCCGAAAGTAAGCCACATGGGAATGGTACACATGGTTGAGGATACGGCAGAGAATTCCAGGAAAAGGAAGATAACTGAGAAGAAAGATAGAAATGCATTAAGAGAAAAATTCATCTACTTAATAGTTTGTACTTCAATATATGCAGGAAGCCTAAACATTTTATGTAATTACAAAATTGTCTCAATCTATTATAACAGTAGAATTTCACCTTGATTGTAGCATACACCATTAGGCATGTGTGGATGGACAAGTACAGTGATAAGGGCATCTATAAAGGCACCTAAGTCTGCCAACAGCCTACATGGTTGTCCACTTTTATGGAGCCATTAAGTTTAATCATGACAAGAATTTGCCTTTAACAAAAAATTCCATTTCAAAGATTCGATTGGAATTTCTACTCTTCGCTTCTACCTCTTGGCTTTCTACTCTACCATGTAGAGTAGAATAGTACAACTATTCCATGGCGCAGTTGTATTTATTTTACCTGGTCTCTGCAGAGGCCATTCTGAATAGTAAGCTGCCCTTGGAATACGAAACTGTACCAATCAGGTTTTAGGACCAGAAGTAATGAAAGAGAACTCTGTGACAACAGAAATAATTATTACATAGCTCCAAACACACCTACATATCGAATTATATTATCCTATAATTGATCTAACCCAATTAATCTATAACAAAGAAATCCATCCGACTTCCTAGTGCAAAAGTATAAAAGAGGAAACTGTGGTCATTACAGACTTAAAGATTGACAGTTCTGGTCATTCAATTTTCAGTTCTTTTTTTTTGTTTGTTTTTGTTTTTGTTTTTGTTTTTGAGACGGAGTCTCGCTCCGTCGCCCAGGCTGGAGTGCAGTGCAGTGGCCAGATCTCAGCTCACTGCAAGCTCCGCCTCCTGGGTTCATGCCATTCTCCTGCCTCAGCCTCCCGAGTAGCTGGGACTACAGGCACCCGCCACCTCGCCCGGCTAATTTTTTGTATTTTTTTAGTAGAGACGGGGTTTCACCGTGTTAGCCAGGATGGTCTCAATCTCCTCACCTCGTGCTCCGCCGTCCTCGGCCTCCCAAAGTGCTGGGTTCAGTGGCCAGCCCGCCCAATGTCAGATAATTTTTGTATTATAGAGACGGTTTCACTGTGGTCTCGATCTCCTGACCTTGTGATCCGCCCGTCTCGGCCTCCCAAAGTGCTGGGATTACAGGCTTGAGCCACCGCGCCCGGCCAATTTTCAGTTCTTAAATATACAAACAGATTTTGAAATTGAGTAAGAGGCAAAAAGTTTATGCACTTCATATTTCTCCCATTAGAGAGATCACCCAAGCACCCTGGATGATTTGGGCATAGGTGCCCAAGAGTTCAGTGAATCTGACTTACCAGGGATTGAGATATATAGGGAGGACAGCCAGCTCCAGGAAGGTTTTTGACATATCTATCACAGCAGAGAACACCTTTTTCTTTAATGAAGACCCACAGAAATATCTGTTGCACCTCAGTATCAGGAAAAAAAAAAAAAAACCCATGATCCTCTTGGAAGAACTGAATTATTTCTATCCTAAGTGGTTTTCAGAGTGTGGTCCCAACCAGCAGCATCCTCATCACCTGGGACCTTGTTCAAAATGCACATACTCAGGTCCCACTCCAGACCTAGCAAATCAGCAGCTCTGGAGGCGAGACCCAGCAATCTGTGTTTTGATAAGCCTTCCTGATGATTCTGGGGGAAGCCAGAATTTGAGAACCGCTGTCCTGTTTACTGGTGGCCGAGAATCTTAGAACCAAATTGGCAGCTTCTCTCCAGCAGCTGCTTTCTAACCCCTCTCCCCACCACCTGAGAGGTAGAGGTGCTTCAGCACCCTTAGATGCCCAGCTCCTTAGAGATTTAAAAAAACATTTTCACAATACCAACTAAACTGGGCTGTGAACCAGAAAACACAACTTCAGAAAATTGGTAACCTACTCGTCCAACTTCTTATACTTTTTTGAGTTAAAAAGCTGCGTTAGGATTGTATTATAATTCCTTAATCTAGAACCAGGTAGTTGTTTTGAAAATCTTGGATGATAATATCGACTACTTAAGTACTAAAAACAAAAAAGGATTTCATCATTTTGTATAGGCCAAGTGCCTAGCTAAAAATGATTAACAAGACATGGTTATCTTTTGCGAGTGAATTATAAGGTTGTAAAAGAGATATAAAAGCAAATGCATTTAAATTATCTATCATGAATCACTGGTTAGCCTGGAAATCTCTTGTTCTTTGGTTAATAGAACACGTAGAAAACCTAAGCCTACAATGCCAAATGAGCAAATATGGCTCATTGTCAGGAACTGAGTGTTTTTCATCTCTTGTCACTGATTTTTAACCTTTCAGAAGTCAAAGAGAATCTGTGTTTCATCAGTTCTGTTGAGAACTTGTGAGACTTTGGGTGGGATACTTTCCCTACTCTGGACCTCATTTCTGCCTCTGTAAAATGAGAGCATTTGATTTTGTCATGTCTAGGGTCACTTCCATCTCTGATATTCTGGGATCCTGGAATTCTAGAGATCTAAGACCCCCACTGCTCCAGTATTACTCCAACACAACTACTCTCTCCTGACCGCTCCTGATCAGAAGGAAGAGGGAGAAGAAAAAGTATTCCAGTGGCTGCATCCTGCTGAAAGCATGAGTGAGATCTGGGAATTCAGATAATCTCAGAAATCACATGCAAGCATTACAGAACTTACAAAACAGTGCTGCATGGAGATCGACTGTGGTGTGAATAGTGAGACATGGTTTGCTCCTTGGTAAATGATACACAGGATTCCGAGGGAGATTTTATCACTAGTTTGCTGAGAACAAGATGTGAACCCTTTAAGGAGCCCTTTTCTGTAGAGACAATCTTAAAGAACCTGCCCAGTGTATGAAATTACTAAAGTGTATATATCTGAAAGCTTAGGAACTTGGGTTTATGCAAACACTCCGCGCACCCCCATTCCCATCAAAGGCAGTTATTTAGCTGAGTGATTCAAGCTGTGGCGATAACTTATAAAGGGTGGGGGATAGGTGTGGTTTGGGGGACTTAAACCACATCTGTCTTCCACCCTTCATGAAATTAAGCAGGTAATTGATTCAATTCATCCACTTCACTTTCTCTGAAGAACTGGTTGCCCCTACTAAGTATAAAGAACAACCTTTGTTGTTCCCCCTGTTCACTAGCTAGCCAAATACTTTGCTCTTTTTCATTTTGCTCCCCAGACTACTTTCTAATATGGTTATATTTATGAACACCTCACTACACAGTTTCTAGCTGAGACATTATGCATTGCATTTGATAATTTCAGAGAATATTTCTTAGCAGCTTCAATTACTAACTACACTCCAACTGCTAGCCTCCTGCTCCCAGACAGTGCCCCCCCTCCACGAACACATACATATAAAGCACATGGTTATGTTTTCTGTAAAAAGTAGCTTATCTGGCTGGTACTGAGGTGATTGCCTTAAATATGTGCTTCTTTCAATTGATGTAAACATCATCTACATGCCCATTATCCCCGAAGTCACCGATGGCATTTCTTCATCTGCAAATAATGATTTTCATTCTTAAAAGTTCTTTTGTGTCAGGAGCTTGAGCAGTGATGTTCTGTATTGTTTTGCTTTGGAATAAGGCAGGTTAGGTTCCCTTTAACCATTTCTAGAGAGAAAAATCCTAAACAGCTCTTTAAAAAAAAAAACAAAAAACATGGCATTAAAACAGACCATCAAACAGTAAAAGTGGTTTTATTAGGACATTTAGAGACAAAGCAACTGGTGCTGTGCCTGGATTTTTCATCTCTTAAAGGTTGTTTTGGCCGGGCGTGGTGGCTCATGCCTGTAATCCCAGCACTTTGGGAGGCCGAGGCGGGTGGATTGCCTGAGGTCAGGAGTTCAAGACCAGCCTGGCCAAAATGGTGAAACCCTGTCTCTACTAAAAATATAAAAATTAGCTGGGCATGGTGGCAGGTGCCTGTAATCCCACCTACTCAGGAGGCTGAGGCGGGAGAATTGTTTGAACCCAGGAGGCGGAGGTTGCAGTGAGCCGAGATCGAGCCACTGCACTCCAGCCTGAGTGACAGAGCGAGATCCACCTCAAAAAAAAAAAAAAAAAAATTAAAAAGGTTGTTTTGATATTGTACAGCACAGTCTGAATAATTGCAAAGTTGGGGGTTACCATGTGACAGAGCTAGGTATTAAGCCCAAGTGACCTGAATTATCACTCTTTGGAGGTGACATCAACCCTGTCAAAGTGTAAATGATTTGTTGCTTCACCATCTCTCTGATATTAAATTTTGAGGAGTGGGTTCAAGGTTGTGCTTCAGGGGACACCTACACTTGTTTATCATGTAAATGAAAATGCACTAGACTACCATGTGATTGCAGGGGGATAAATGGTTTTTTTCTAAAAAAAAATTGACAAAACCTATATAGACCATCCTGGGTAGACATGAAAACACGGTGATTCTAATAATCAATAAGATGATTTAATAAGGTCTAGTTGGTCCCAAGATTCCCCAACAGGGAAGAATAAGCAACTGCAGAGCATTTCCCCAGCCCCCTCCCTCTCCTTATGACAGGACACGCCAATAAAACTCCACCTCCTACTCTTCAGTGCCAGATGGGTAAGCATTTAGCCAAGCATGCTGGGAGACACACAGAACTGAAGCAAAGGAGTATCCGGATGTCTTGGATTTTCTTTCCATTCTGTTCTGTTCTGTTCTCCTAATACCATCTCGTTACTAGACGTAGGCATTGGACGTGACAATCACTGTATTTGAACTGAGAAGAAGAAATATTAAAGACACAGTCTTCAGAAGAAATGGCTCAAAGGCAGCCTCACTCACCTAATCAGACTTTAATTTCAATCACAAATGACACAGAATCAAGCTCTGTGGTTTCTAACGATAACACAAATAAAGGACGGAGCGGGGACAACTCTCCAGGAATAGAAGCATTGTGTGCCATCTATATTACTTATGCTGTGATCATTTCAGTGGGCATCCTTGGAAATGCTATTCTCATCAAAGTCTTTTTCAAGACCAAATCCATGCAAACAGTTCCAAATATTTTCATCACCAGCCTGGCTTTTGGAGATCTTTTACTTCTGCTAACTTGTGTGCCAGTGGATGCAACCCACTACCTTGCAGAAGGATGGCTGTTCGGAAGAATTGGTTGTAAGGTGCTCTCTTTCATCCGGCTCACTTCTGTTGGTGTGTCAGTGTTCACGTTAACAATTCTCAGCGCTGACAGGTGAGTTTCTTTTCTCTGTTATATTTGCCAGGATGTGAAATTGGGCAAAAAGAAAGGAAAGCTTGTACTTAGCATTTACTGGCTACTATTCTGCTTTTCTCACACTCTGTAACGTGGATGTGAGATTGAAAAATCTGGTGGCATTTAAAATAAAAGTTAGTGTAAGAATGTTAAAATTTCTGTGTTAGCGTGGAGGAGAAGTTGAAATTGCATGCTTTATGGATAATTTATTCTTATTGTTTGCTCGAAAGTATACTGAACGGGGTTTTTATTTTTCTCCAGTTTATTAAGTAAAGCAAATTGTTCCAGGTGTAAAAGAAAAAAAATTCATGCTTTATACATTAGTGCAGCCTAGTGGTGCAATATAGTCAACATGAAAACCAGCATAGGTGTGAAATTGACCACATATGCATTACTATATATCGGAAGAGTGGTAAAAAGACACAAGCATCTAATTTATTTGAAATTCATCAAATTAGCTAATGGCAGAAAACGGTGAGGTTTTCAGCTCCCTGGTAACTTAGTGTAATGTCATCACGTAATTCTATTTGTTTTCTCTATAGGCATTCAGTGACATTATCATTTCCAGAGAAATAAATTAATCTTGGTTGACTCTTAGAGCTCTGTGGAGCGAGCGTGTGAGATCCTCTTGCAGTCAGGGTGTTCAGATTCTGTGTTAGGATATTTTCAGTCCAAGTACTCTGTTTTTTCTGTGTTCCTATTGTAGAATAACTATAAAAACATGAAAAAATTTGAGGCTCCAAATGTTAAAAGTGATGCTTTAAAAAGCCTAAAAGAAGCCTGTAGGTAATCGATGTTTGGCAGTACCCGAAGGAATAGCTTCTTCAGATTCTACAATCCGAGAGGAGGAAAACCTTTCCCTGTGTCTTTTTAAGATTTTTGCTTTGACTGGTCTTATATTCTATTTGAGGGCAGACTGGCTTAATGACTGTAGATTTTAAGGTGGATTTGTTTGAATGAGGAGGCATCTCTCTGTATCAGCACAGGACTTCTGATTGCAACTTTGCCTCACCCTAAATCTGTCCACTGATCAGCTTGGGCAACGAATTAACACTTATAAACGGGGAAGAAATTAATCCTCTCCTCTTTACCACATAAACCCTTGGAATTCTTTTCTAGGAAGGTTGGTAACTGTTCAGTCATGAAGAAAGGAAAATTAATTCAGTTTAACATCAGTCACTTATACAAAAGGAAGTCTTTTAGAACACTTAAGGTAATACCCAGGTGGTGAATCACACATGAAATCATGCTGATAAATGTTTATTTGTCCTAAATAGAGAGTCTATACATAAAATTATAAAATTGCAAATCTGGAATATCTCATAGGAGTGAATAATGGAAAAGGTGATTAGCATAAATAAAAATATTGGGATGTATTATGTGCATTTAAAACCATAGCCAATTCTAGTTGGTTAATGTTGACTTTGTTATATACATATGCATGGAGGGTAGAACTGGATGACCACTAAGGTCACTTCTCACCCTAAAATTTGGTAACTTTGATTTATTTGGACCTTGCCTCTGATTATGTGTTTCTAGATACAAGGCAGTTGTGAAGCCACTTGAGCGACAGCCCTCCAATGCCATCCTGAAGACTTGTATAAAAGCTGGCTGCGTCTGGATCGTGTCTATGATATTTGCTCTACCTGAGGCTATATTTTCAAATGTATATTCTTTTCGAGATCCCAACAAAAATGTGACATTTGAATCGTGTACCTCTTATCCTGTCTCTAAGAAGCTCTTGCAAGAAATACATTCTCTGCTGTGCTTCTTAGTGTTCTACATTATTCCACTCTCTATTATCTCTGTCTATTATTCTTTGATTGCTAGGACCCTTTATAAAAGCACCCTGAACATACCTACTGAGGAACAAGGCCATGCCCGTAAGCAGGTATGTATTAATCAGTACTCATGCAAATCTAGTTTGAATTTAGAAGTGAAGTTCCTACTTTTGCACAGTGAGTAACTCTGTATCTTCCTGTGTATAAATGCAATTGCAGTGTAGTATTTTTGTTGTGAGCATAGGCTCCAGTTTGAATCCCAGCTCTATCACATAATAGCTGAGTAATCTTGAGCAAGTTACCTAACCTTTCTGAGCCTTGGTTTCCTTATCTGTAAAATGAAGATGATTACTAGATGATATAGATGAAATGCTTAGGTGCCGAGTAAGTATTTCAATAAATGGGAGGACTACTACTATTAGAGAGGTGACAATTGAAGTTTGAGAGTAGTCAAAATTTTTTACCCTATGGAATAGTGGGGAACACTGCATAAGATGATACTATGAAGAAAAGCATCTTTTGTTTTAGAAAGTGTAACAGAATAAAAACACATAGCATATAGAACTGGCAAGAATCCATAACACTATTCAATGCAAACCACTTACACACAGATGAGCAAACTGAGGTGGGGAGGAGTGAGGGGAAAGAGTGGAATGCAAGTAGCACAAGAACACGGTGACTCACAGAAGCTTGATTAAGAGCACTGCAAGAGCCAGGTGTGCCCCCCTCTCATAAATATGGACAGAATAAAAGGAATGTTGCCAAAACATAGTTCCATTTAATTAAAAATATTTTTCTAATTTCTGGGGAAGGGGGAGAGATGATTCCATTTACCCCTTGATCAGTACACAGAAAACTGCGCCTTTTTTAGAGCTAATCCATTCAGTTAGTTTAACAATAGTGCTCATGAGACTGAAGTTGCATATTTAATGCCCATGTGAACCAGTTACCTTTGCTCTATTTGTGACCACGGGCTATATATTCACCTAACTTGGCTCATTTCTCTTATTAATAGATGTAAGTAGGATTATATTTGCATACAAAGGACAGCATATTTTGGGTTTATTTCTTTGACTATATGGTTAGAATTCCTATAGAGTAAAAACAATTTTAGATACAAGCTTGGCAACTTTCGTAGACCTCAAAAGAATATTCTGACCTAGCCAGCTTCTGCTGATGCAGTGAAAGCAGTTTTGTATAGCATCTCTCTGTTTTCAATTACATTAAATTTTGGAGAATTCCACGGCATTCTTTGAGTTAACTGCAGACATCCTAGAGTATCTCGAAATTAGGGGGGAAGGTGTATCTGAATTAGAGTTAATGAGTCCAGGATCAGAGGTTACCATGCCAATTGACTTGCTGTGTTACATAGTCACAGGCTGACTTCCTGCACATCCCAGGCAGTTAGCATACAAATGCATGTTCAAAGGGAAATCAGCTGTAATTAACTGTAAATTTCTATGTAAATTTATAGAAAAACTTTTTAAAATCTCTTACTGCTAAATTATTATTATTATTATTATTATTATTATTATTATTATTTTTGCTATGTTTCTTCCCCCTATAGATTGAATCCCGGAAGAGAATTGCCAGAACGGTATTGGTGTTGGTGGCTCTGTTTGCCCTCTGCTGGTTGCCAAATCACCTCCTGTACCTCTACCATTCATTCACTTCTCAAACCTATGTAGACCCCTCTGCCATGCATTTCATTTTCACCATTTTCTCTCGGGTTCTGGCTTTCAGCAATTCTTGCGTAAACCCCTTTGCTCTCTACTGGCTGAGCAAAACCTTCCAGAAGCATTTTAAAGCTCAGTTGTTCTGTTGCAAGGCAGAGCAGCCTGAGCCTCCTGTTGCTGACACCTCTCTTACCACCCTGGCTGTGATGGGAAGGGTCCCGGGCACTGGGAACATGCAGATGTCTGAAATTAGTGTGACCTCGTTCCCTGGGTGTAGTGTGAAGCAGGCAGAGGATAGAGTCTAGCTTTCCAGTGAAAAATGCTGTTTCTCCTCCCAGCATGTGTATCCAACTCTAAGCTGTGTGTAGGTGTATGATGTCCAGATTTTTGTTGTTTCAAAAGTGTGTTGAAATCTTAGGAGTGAAGGATCCCTATAAGTAAGTAAAAGACAAATCATTACTTTCTTCAAAGTACAAATAGTAATGTCATCAGGCTTTCTAAATAAAATGAAGCCCCACTAAGTGCAGAAAGGCAAGTTTATATATGCCAGTGAATAGTAAGCGAAGTCGAATGGGAAGGAAGATGTAATAAACAAGATGAAACTTAAAAATCTCATTTGTTGTGTAATCACATCTGTGATGCTTCTAATTCCTCATATACTGTGATTTGCATAAAATTGTGTTTGTATTTACTGTGTGGTGTAAATCTAGAGATACTTTGTATGTGAAAAGGGGATCACAAAAGAGATAAAGCATCTCTTATGCTATTTTCTTAAAAATAAACCTTCACAGAATGGCTGCCCTTTTCCATTCATCTCTATTCCATTGTAGCTGAATCTGTGCAGTTGAAACGAAAATGTTTCGGAGTCAGCGAGTACAAAGCACTGTGTAAGGATCTGGGGTACACTGCTTCCCTTACTGGGTCAACACTTACTGACTTAATGTAGTTTCAACACTTACAACTGCCATTGATTAATAACTGGGCTGTTATCATTCACAAATACTATTAAGAACTTGCCTTATTCATAGGCAGAATAAGTGGCCATGTTTATGGTGTCATTTGAGGACCCCTGTTGAAAAATCTGCAAACCTGCCACGGTGTCTGAAATTCTTCCTTTACAGAAATTCATTTCTTTCTGGTAAGCAGTGCCCTCTTTCTAAAACCATGCAGAAGTACCACATGAAATCCCTAACCCCTGGGTGTGCAATTGTGATCAGATCATTTTCCTGGTTGACTTTATTAAACCTGATGGGTGCCTAAGTCCTGTAAGTGTATGGTCTAATTAATCTCTGCCCATGGAAATCAGATGGAAAGCTCTGATTTTCTATCCTGTGCTCCTACCTGCTAACATCATTCGCTTGTTAACAATTATTGGTTTTTTTTTGTTTTGTTTTGTTTTTAAACTGTTGTCAATAGACATGTCAGATTTAAATCTGTGGTTTCAGAAAAAAATTTGGAGCAAGTTTAAACATATGTTTGGCACTATAGGTAAATTTGTATTAAAAAAAAAACTTAATGTTTGAGTGTGCTTTTGGTAATGTTGAGCTTTCTTTAAATGGCTTGTGGAGTCGTGAACTTTTGCTAATGATGTGGCTCCAAAAGGTAATACGTATTAACATCAGACTTCAACTTTCTGTAAAATTGGTTTACTTAAAGTGGGGGGGGGGGTGTGATACTGTATTAGTATTGTTTTAAAGTGGACACTGTAATAAGTGTGGAAAAACAAATAAATATGTAATAAAGTTTTAAATGACCCTTTGTAACTTTATATTCTAAAAACAATATTTCTGACAGAATATAATGGAACCCATTTTAAACCCAAAATGTTACTTTCAAGTCACAGAGCCCTAAAACAATCTTATTATTTTCCTCACTCTGAGTAAAAATTACATCTTTACTCTCCTAAACTCTAATAACTTTTCAGATATAACTTGATAAAAGTACCAGAATACAAAAGTGAAGAGAGCTTTTTGGAAGTTCATAAAACTAGAACTCAAATAACTTTTTTTTTTCATTCTCAGCAATCCTTAGGTGAGTCAGGGATATAACTCCCTAAATGGCTGTGTAGGGCATCAGCCTCCTTCCATCTGTAGCTGTAGTTGGCTTAAAATTCACAGCTTTGCTTTGATTTTTGAGAGGGTGGTCTGTTTTTCAACAGATTATCCTTGTCACAGCTAACCTTACAAGTAGTCCCTAATAGTCACAGCTTTTTTCACACTGCCTATTGTGGTTCCAGAAATGTTTCTATGGAAGATTTCATTTCTTTGGAGAGAACTCTAAATGGCAGGGAGAGGTGGGACATATGCAAAATAAAGTCTGTATACATCTCAGTTTTGCTCGGGGTCTTCCCTGACCCAAGACTTAAAATATGGACCATAATAGAGTAATACTCCACAAAGCATGAAAACACAGTCAAAAAGTTAGGCATAACCAAAATGTCCAGCAGGTAAGTCTTCGTCATTGAGGTGAAAGCACTACAAAACACTTACCACTGGCATTTCTGCTGAAAACAGCAAATTTGGGTTTGCAGAATTTCTGCAGTTTGAGTCAACTTAGGTCAGGAATTCATCAATCTTTTTGTCAGAAAGACAGAAGTCTTTTTATTTCCACTAAGTCTTGAGATTACAGGATGTGGGGATAGGAAAATTCCTGGACAGAGTGGGCTTGAAGGGACCATTTTTTTTTTAAATCTGATTTGGTATAGTTCAGTAATTTTTCAGTAAGAGTTCCTAGGCCAGATACGTGAGTCCTATCTGGAGTGCAGTCTCTGCTTTTATAGGTTAATGTATATTTATCCACCAAGAAGGGTGTGGCCTATTAGGGCAGAAATATAACACAGATCACCCCATATAAAGGTCAGAGAGAAGAATGAAGCACATATTCAAAGAGAAGTCAGCTGTGTAGATTCTTCCTAGGTCCAGCATCCCTTTATGTGGCCCATCTACATGGCAGTCCTGGAGTTTCAGTAGCCACGCCTATCTTTATAACCCACCCACCCCCCTTTTTTTACCTCAAGTGTTTCTATAACTTGCAAGAAAAAAAAAAAACTTGAAAAAGACAGGTTACAGAGACAGAGATGCTTTCAGATTACCTCAGTCACTAGGGAGTTATTCTATGAATACACAGGGAAATGAGAAAAAATAGGAACCAGGCCTCATAAGAGACCACAGCGTGGTGCAATTAGAACTGTCAGATCTCACGACCAAACAGAATGCCATTACAAGTACAATGTGTTTACTTCTCAACTCTACTGCCTAACTAATATGGTGACTCAGTGACTCTTCTTCGCTGTTTCAGCTGCTCCTCCGTGGGGAACTTCTCCATGGCAGGCCTCTGTTCTGCCTTTTACCTTCCCTGGGAGTATCTCCTTTTTTCTTTGCTACTCTGACTACATCTCTGTATGTTCCATACTCAAACTCCCTGGGAGAGGCTCTTACTGGCTCAGTTAGTCAAATCCAGCCTAGAACGCAGAGCTACTCTGCCAGGTCACCACACAGGCCCTGGGCAGCTTTTGGGCCAGGATGGCTGTGTGACATGGGGCATAAGCATAAGAAACCCTTTCAGTCACCTGCTCAAAAGACGGTTGTAGTAGAGCGGCACTCAATGACATGTGCAGTAGGATGGTGTCACATATTGTCACCTATGCTGTGAACTCGGGAATGAAACGTGAGCTCAATAACACACTGCTGAAAACAGCTGTATGCTATTTTTGGATCCAGGAAAAAATATTTAGCAAAGTTTAAGTCTAATAAAACTCACATTACCTGTATCATAAAAATGCACACAAATTCAGTTCTCCGAGTTCCTACCAGGACGCGAACTTCATGAAAAAGAAATATAATTTAGAAAAACTAACCCAAACTATTAAAAACTATTGTTATCGTTGAAACCATAGATTCACACAGCTGGTACGTGGGGAGCCAGGATTTTCTAGAAGTAGTACTCAACTGCTATGTTTAGAAGTGAAGGTCACTGGAATAGTGAAATAATTTCTTCTGGGAAGGTTTTCCCCACCCTCAAGCGTGGGTTGTGATATTTATGGTTACACTAATGAGTTCCTTATTATTTTAAATGAATTAATATTTTTTAACGGCCGCTTTAATTTTTGTGCAGAAATATTGGTAAGTATAATCCACAAACGTTTTTTGGGGTCTTCAATGTTTTCGTGTAAAGAGGACCTGGGACCAAAAAGTTTGAGAACTGCTGTCCTCCAGCATCTCGTATCTGTCATTTGCCAACCATCCTAATTCTGTCTCCCCTGAGCTGTGCCTGTCTTGTCGACTCCTGGGTCGCCAGAGCCTCGTGCAGAACCCTGCACTTAGTAGGGGCTGGATAAATACCTGCCCAACTTAAAAATATGGACCTTTACATTTTCAGCAATGAGTGTAATTCCTGAAAACAAAGTTCTGTTTAGAACAAAAGTATGCTGTGTCTTTCTAAAACAATGACAAAGAAGCGGAGTTTGCCGGCCAGTAAAGCTGGTGTTTACACTGGGATGTTTACATTTATGTCTAAGTTTCAAGTTCGCAGCTCGAGCGCCACTGAATCCTGCAGTACAAGAGGCAGGCAACTGCAGCCCCTCCCATCCTTCCCATGGAGTCAAACTCCAGCCAGAGGAAGGTATGAGACCGATAAAGGAGAAGGCTGACACCAGAAAAAAAAAAAGTTGGCCCTTTTACCCCTCATTCGTTCATTCATTCGCTCATTCCGCATTAGACACCAGAGCCGGTGCCAGGAGCTTAGGTCACCAAGAAGAACAATATCCGGTGTCCATCCCAGGGAGTCGGAAAGAAACAAGTAAAAGACACGGTTCCTGCGCGGGGGAGGGGCCTTTGGGCGAAGGAGGCGCGTCGTTTTCTCGAAGCCAGAGATATTTGTCCTGCCCGCCCCACCCACTCCCCCAAGATGGCGTCCTCGCGACACCCGCCCGGCCACCTCCGCGAGGGAATATTCCCACGCCTTCCTTCCGTCTCCCTCCCGGGCCGGCCGATTCGCCGGGAACCCCGCGGACCTCAAGGCCCTTGAGGCGTCAGGGGATCCCAGTGGCCCTCGCCCCGCCCCAAGGCCGAACCCGGTGGGCGTCGACGCCCGGCAGTAGCGCTCCCCCCTCTCCGGCGCCCCGCCTCCCCGGGTCTCGCGCCGCGTGCCGGCGTCGGCGCCTTTTGACGCCACAGTGGGCGTGTCGGCGCGACCCGCGACGTCGCGACGCGCCGACAATGGCGGCTGCGTCGGCCTGAGCAGGGCTTAGTTTACAAGTAATATCCTGACGTTGCCGAGGGAGCCGCAGTCGCCTTAGACCCGGTCGGCGGCGGCGGCGGCGGCG